GGGGTGGGCTGGGCACCCTTCTCCCCACTGCCTCTCCCATCCTGGTCCCTCCTGTCCCCCCCAGGTATCTGTCTCAGCGTGGTGCCCCTCTACCTGGGAGAAATCGCCCCCAAGAACCTGCGGGGTTTCCTGGGCCTCATGCCCAGCATCTTCATCTGCCTGGGGGTTTTCTTTGCGCAGGTCCTGGGCCTTCCAGAGCTGCTGGGCGAGGTGAGCATGATACTCCAGCCCACATGTGCTGGACCCTGCTCTGCCCTTCCCATGACATGTCCTGCTTCAACTCCTCTCAGGACCGGTTCTGGCCCCTTTTCCTGTCAATGGTGGTCGTTCCCGCCTCCCTCCAGCTCCTCCTGCTACACTGCTTCCCTGAGAGCCCACGGTACCTGCTGATAGAAAGGAACGATGTCTGTGGGGCCACCAAGGGTGAGGGAGTGTCCTGGGGACACTGGCACTGGGTGCTGGGCGCTGGTCCAAGGTCTCGTGAAACCAAGGTGCATCCTCATAGCATCCTTCTGCACCCAGATCTGACAGCCCACCATAGTCCTTATGGTCTGTCCTACCCAGCTGTGCCATAACATTTCCATGGTGCCTGTCACCATGGTGCGAGGCATCTCTTTGGTTCCTATGGATGCTCAGCCCCATGGGTCGGGGAGGTCCCCGGGGGAGGCTGAGCCCGGGCAGAGCCAAGCCCCTGCCCTGTGCCATACTTATGAGCATCCACCCTGTAATGGGGATGCCTGCTCTCCCCACAGCTCTGTGCCAGTTCCTGGGGACACCTGATGTGCAGGATGTGATCGAGGAGATGAAGGAGGAGCAGCGGTCACTCTCCTCCGTGGAGATGGTCTCCGTCTGGCAGCTGCTGCAGGACCGCTCCGTCCGCTGGCAAACCCTCTCGGTGGTGGTGGTGAATGCTGGCATGCAGCTCTCAGGGATCGATGCCGTAAGCCCCGCGAGGTCCTCACCCCGGGACCTGGCTCTGCAGAGGCTGAGCTGAGACCTGGCAACTCATTTCATCGTGCCCCATGGCTCCGTCCCCCTCGGCTCACGCTAAGTCCCCTCCTTGGCAGATCTGGTTTTACACCAACACCATCTTTGAGAACGCCGGGATACCTGTATCCCAGATCCCCTACACCACCGTGGGCACCGGCGCCATTGAAGTTGTCGCGGGGCTGATCGGGGTGAGTGACGGACGGACAGACAGACAGAAGCAGACCCTCAGAGCCAGAGCCTTGTCGCCAGCTCCCAGCACCATCAAATGGGATGGGCTGGGTGGATGCCAAATGCCGCCTGTGCCACAGCACAGCCCCTTTGCTGAGGGGCAGAGGGTTAGACAAGAGAATGGGGTGGGGAGGTGGGACGAGAGGGGCTTAAATTGTGGGGTCACGTCTAAGAGGCGTGGAAGAATTTTGGACTAAGTGAGTAGCAGGGAGGTTTGGGGGGGGAGACACCAGGCAAGGAGCAGGTTGGAGGTGATGGAGGGGGTTAAGCGGTTCCTTCTGGCTCCCAATTTCATTGTCCCTCCGCTAGCAGAGCCACATGTCCCCATCTGCCCCCCCAGCCAAGCACCATCCTGGCCCCAGGCTAGCAGCCCCGGCCCCCCCAGCCAGGCCTCATTTAGCTGGAGAGTTAGCACTGGGCCAGGCAGATTTATGTCCCTCGTCCCATCTGCGTGTGTCACCCGGGGCCAGCCTGAGCCACCCGGCACTAAATCTGCTCCCTGACAATTAGAGAGATGGATGGGGGGTGGCTGCTCCCAGAAAACCAGGGCTGAGTGGGGGGCTGCTCTCCTCTCCCCATAGCTCAACCCACACCGG